GGTGGCCTGGCCACCTGTCAGCCTCCTGCAGCCTTGCCCGCAGGAAGCTCCTCCTGTCCCTTCACCCCTACCCCACCATGACCCTGCCCCGACGCGCCCGGGGCTGTCCCAGCCCCTTTCCTTAGCCGCTTGGGCTGCCGTCAGAGGGGCCTGTCTCGCTCCCGCTCCCGCGGCACAGAGCCTCTGTTTTCCTCACTCCAGGCCTGGAGTGCCCTGCTTAACAGCTTGGATTGAAGAGGCTTGTCTGGGGGGACTGAGACCTTGCAGATCATTCCAGAAACTGCCTCCATCCAAGGCCAACAGCTTCATCAGGCCGCTGGCCTGGGAGAAGGTGGGACTGCAGCTCCAACACCCTGTGGCTGCCCACACGAACCCCCCGTGTGCACCCCAGGGCTGAGAGCAGGGGGAGCCATCTCCCTGTGTGTGGGACACTGCCTGCTGGGTGTTCCCTTCCAGCCCCTCTCGAATGCATGCTTGAATGGCCAGTGAGGTTGGGGGAGGGACCAAGAGGGAGTCCTCATGCCCAGCAGCACAGAGCAGGAGCTGGACAGTGGGGCTGGGGGTGAGGCCAGCTGGGAGGGGTCAGGTCCTGCCACAGGAGGGAGACTTTTCAAGTTCCTCCATGGCCCAGGAACCCTGGAGCCTCAGGAGTTGCAGGGGAGCTTCTCCAGTGGGTGACAGCCTCTCTGGGGTCTCAGGGCTCTCTGCTTGGGGCCTTAGGATTTCTGGGAGCTGCCTGCCCTGACAGCGTCCACCTCTCTGCCCCGACGGTGCCCGCGTCATTTTCCTTCCCTGCCTGGCCCTCACCCTGCAGCCCCGGTTGCTGGAACACCCTCCCCTGGACCCTGGGCCCCTGGAGCTACCTGCAGCTGTCCTGGTCCGCAGAGGCCTCCTTTTGTGGAGGGCTCTTCCTGTGGCTCCCGCCTCCGGCCGACCGACCCGCCGGGGCAGCAGGCCAGCGCCGAGCACGGCCGGAGCCTCGGGAAATGCGAGCTCAGAGTAGAGCCCTCGCCTGCTGGAAGAGATGGCTTTGGAAGCAGAACCCGCCCCAAACCCAATTCCTGGCCCGGCAGGAGGGGGAGGGGAGGGGAGTAGGAGGAGGGGCTGAGCAGGGATGAGGCTTCAGGAAGGAATGCCCCGCTCAGGAGCCCCCCCAGAGCCCCACCGGGAACTCATCTCTCCGCCTGGTGACGTCACGTTGGCCCGAGCACTGCTGCCCGAGTCCAGCTGTTCATCTCCCTCGCATTCTGCTGCTCGGTAAGGCTGCCCAGGAGAGGGAGCACCGGCTGTACACTTGCCTGGCGCCTTTGGTCTGCCCCCAGTGGGCATTTCGGGGCAGGCTGGCCCAGGAGGGGCTAGGCCCCACCCCGTTGTTTTAATTTACTCAGGGCTGATACAGAGCGGTGGGGGGGGCAGCAGGGCGAGGGCTCCATGGAGGGGCAGCGCAGAATTGGCAGAGGTGGGCAGCACCGCCCAAGCGGCACCCCTCCCCCTTCCCACCCGGGACTCGGCGTGGGCCCCCTGGGGGCTTATGGAACCAGGAATTCCCTTTTCCCCAGCCCTAATAGCAATCAGATGGCGCAAGTGGAAAATCACGGCGCTCGGCGAGCAAGCTGGAAATTGGCGGGCTGTGGTGCCTGGTGCCTGTGCTGCTCTGCAGGAGGATGAGTCAGGCCCCCTTCCCCATTGAGCCCCTGGAGGGGGGAGTCCTGGAACGCGTTCATGCCTGGGGCACTGAGCATTGGTAGGGGGGGTGTGCAAAGTGGGGGGTGCAGGAGCCAGCAGGGTGGCCAGGAGGAGGGGGTGATGAGAGGGCTCCCCTCCTGCCCTGGGCCAACTTTCTCAGGGTCCAGGAAGCCCAAGGGAATTCTGAGCTTTCCCAGCAGGAGCGTAGTGCCCAGACTGGGAGAGATGTGCCTCTGTGGGCTTCTTGAAGGGAAACGAGAAACACAGCTGCCTCTGCACCTGCGCTGGGAGCTGCCCGCCTCCTGCTCGTCCTGCCCACGTGCAAACCTCACCGTGGAAGAGGGAGTCTCGCGCTGCTCCCCGCGTGACCCAGCTGGCCTCCTGGGGTCTGTTTTTCAGGGATGGGCTGAGGAGGGACTCTGGGATCCTGGAGGCTCACGGGCCATGCCTGAGGCTGAGAGAGAGGCTGGAGGCAGCAGGCAGGGTGGTGACCCGTCCCCTCTTCTCCAGGGCAGCCAGCTGGGGCCCAGCTGGAACACTTGTTTACATGGGGAGGCCGGGGGAGGCTGAATCCCGGCGAGTTCCAAGTGTAATTGCATTTGGACACTTAAAAGGAATTGTGTGAAGTGGGCAGAGGCTCTTAAGTCCACCACCTTATTTGGTATGGAAATTTGTTTCTCTCAAAATAAGCGAGAGGCGCTTGTAAACGGGAAGGTCGTCCTGGCCTGGGTTTGTGGAGTCCCCTTACCGTGGCCTTGGTGTGTCCGGCTGCTCTGACGCGGTACCGCAGACTGGGGACTTATCGGTGCAGGCATTTCTTCCCACGGCTGCGGGGGCTGGAAGGCCAAGATCAAGGCACCCACAGATTCAGCGTCTGGTGAGGACCCAGCCTCTCACTGCGTCCCCATGTGGTGACCCCTTTCAGGCAGGCGAGGAAGCTCGATGGGGCCTCTTTTAGTGGGGCATTAATGCCATTATGAGGCCCCACCCTCATAACCTGCTCTTCTCCCAAACGCCCCACCTCACACCGGAGATTAGATGTCAACATATGAATTCAGGGCGGTGGGGCAGCGGGGCAGGGGCAGGGGGTGGGGCCACAAACGTGCAGTCTGCAGCAGCCACCCTGGGGGTCTCTCCCCGCCCTCCGGGGGAGTGGTGGGGTGTGTGGGGGGGGTACCCGGAGGTCCAGTGCAAGGAGTTCCCGTGCTGCCTCCAGGCTTGGGTGACCTTGGACAGTTTTCTTTCCACCGGGGACTTTGGTTTCCTCAGCTGTCAGATGGGAAACGGTAATGACCCACAGGGTTACAGCAAGGAGGGATCGGACGCCCGGAGGAAGAGCTCTTCGTGCACCTCAGCAACGCCGCTCCCTGCTCCAGGCGTCCTGCTGGTGCCATTCCCTCCCAGCGAGGCTCAGGGCTCTGGCTGACGCTGTGAATGGGGTATGGCCCCTGCTCGTCCAGCCTTCACTTTCTGAACAGCCACCACTTGCCGTCAGGAGTCCTCCCCTGCCCTCCCAGTAGAACGTTGTTTTTAATCATCCTCTGCCAAGGGCCTCATGGTCCTACGCCTCTCCCCGTGTCCCCTCCTGAGGTTGCAAGCCTGGACCCTCCTCTGTTGGGGAGGTTCTTGCGGGAAGGAGACTGCAGAGATGTCTCCCTGCCAGGTGCTTCTGTTGCCTACGGTTGCTCTGCTGCTCCCTGGACAAGGGGGCGGGTGTGAACCAGTCCTTGCGGCCCTCTGCAGCCAGCACCATCCTCAGTAAAGATTGCAGGTATTTCCTGAGCACTGCTGGGTGCCAGGCACTGTGGTCCGCACTGATGAGCAGGATAGGCGAGGTCCCTGCCCTCCGGGAGCTGATGTCCAACAGAGAGGCAGACCAGGTCAAAGGAAACACAGTCAAACGCACCTGCGATGAAGAAGGTGGGCAGGGCCATTCGGCTGGCGTGGTGGCTCACACCTGTAATCCTAGCACTTTGGGAGGCTGAGGCGGGTGGATTGACTGAATTCAGGAGTTCAAGACCAGCCTGGCCAACATCGTGAAACCCCTTTTATACTAAAAATACAAAAAATGAGCCGGGCATGGTTGCACACACCTATAGTCTCAGCTACTTGGGAGACTGAGGCATAAGAATCACTTGAACCTAGGAGGTGGAGGTTGCAGTGAGCCGAGATCTCGCCACTACAGCACTCCAGGCTGGGTGAGACAGCGAGACTCTGTCTAAAAAATAAAGGTTGAACCAAGGCCTAGCTGTCTTTCCTAATAGTGAAAGGGATCCCTCTCCTTCCGCTCTGTTCCCCTCCTCCACTAGGCTGGGCCTTTCTGTGCTGGAAGGTGCATCTTGGGAATCTCAGGAAAAGTCCACATTATCCTCTGTCCTGCATATGGTAGACCATTCATTTGTTAATTTGTCCATCTGTCCATCTATCCACCCACTCATCTACCCACCCAACTACCCATCTACCTACTCATCCATCCATGCATCCATCCATCCATCCATCCATCCACCAGACCATCCATCCATCCATCCATCCACCAGACCATCCATCCATCCATCCATCCATCCATCCATCCATCCATCCATCCATCCATCCATCTATCCATCCATCTATGCATCCATCCATGCATCCATCCATGCATCCATGCATCCATCCATCCATCCATCCATCCATCCATCCATCCATCAGACCATCCATCCATCGACCCATCCATCCATCCACCCAGCAAACCATCCATCTATCCACCCATCAATCCACTCATCAATCCATCCATTTATCTATCATCAATCCATCCATGTATCTATCAATCCATCCATTCATCCGTCTAGCCTTCCACCCACCCACTCACCCATCTACCCATCCATTCATTCTTACCTTAATTCAACACATTTTTACTGAACACCAGCAATGTTGGTGCTAGGAAAAGAATTGTGGAAGAACCAGACACAGGGCATGGGGAGCAGGTGATAAATAGAAACAACTGAACACAAGAACTCCAACCTGTGATTAGTGCATTGAGAAAACCAAACAGGCTTAGTGGCAAAAACTTAGGTGGTAGGCAGGGAGGAATGGGAGGTGGGCTGAATAGTGGCCCCTAAAGATGTTGATGTCCTAATCTCCAGATCCTGAGAACATGTGACTTTACCCTGGCCAAAGGGACTTTGCAAATGGGATGAAGGGTCTTGAGATGAGAGCATCATCGTGGATTATCCATGTGGCCCCATGTCATCACAAGGGTCCTTGTAAGAAGGAGACAGGAGATCAGAATGAGTAATGGGCCATGTGTTGATGTGAGGAAGGGACCACCAGCCAAAGAATGCAGGCTGCCTCTAGAAACTAGAGAGGACAAGGGAACAAGCTGTTCCCTAGAGCCTCCAGAAAGAACCAGCCCTGCCAACACCTTGACTTTAGGCCTCTGATTTCTGGAACTCTTACTAGAGTTACTTGTGTTGTTTAAGCCACTAAGTGTGTGTCATTTGTCGTAGCAGCCACAAGAAACTAATCCAGGGGGATGGCCAGGCCTGATTAGCTGGGGTGGGGCTGGAGGCTCCTCTACAGAGATGATGCTTGCACTGAGACCTGAAGGAGAAGGAGAAGGAGGTGGCTGCTCACGCAATTGTCAGTTTGCCATGCGGATGCTCTTTTAACAAGACTTAATGTTTTAGTGGAGAGGTGCAAGGAGTTTATTTGGGGGGTGACCCCAAGAAACATTACAGGGAAGAGAAAGAATTTTGAGAATTCCCTCCCACCTTGCTTTGAGGGGTCTTGTCTTCAGCTCACCACTGCCCTTGCCTTCTTTGTGGATTATTGTGGCAACAGACACCTGCAAACCCTAGGTTGGTCCTCAGTGAGGGTGGCTTGGGCGGCCAGAGACAGCCTGAGAACAGCTGCCAGGATGACTGTCGGACCCTCAGGGGCCTGGCGGGAAGCTCACTCCTGCTCTGGGGCATCCAGAGAGGGAGACCAGAGTTGAAGTCATGCTGAACACTGAGGTCACGTGCGGGCTTTTCCTCTGGGCCTGCCAGTGGTACGCCTGTGCAAACCAAACTCAAATATGTCTTCAGATCCAATCCAACTTCGTCACAGTTTCCCCTGGGACTGGTGCAAAACTGGTACAAAAGTCTTTGCTTTCTCAAGTCTGAGAGATCTGGGGTCTTCTGTTTGGGGGAGACCATGTTTCTGAAACTTTTTATCAGAGGCAGCTATTTCCAGACAAAACTTCCAATTGTTCGGCCTCGAATGCATCTCTTGAATCTGGAATTTCCCCAAGGCTTGATTCCACGGGATGGCTGAACAGATGACACTGACTGGGGGGTGGGTGTAGGTGTGTTGGTGTGTATATTTCAAGTCACTTTTGCTTTTTAAAAAATATTTAATTCCAGGATCATTTTTAAAATTGTGATAAAACGTGCATAATATAAAATTTATCTTTAGCCGTTTATCTATTTTTTTCTTTAGGTGGAGTCTAGTTCTGTCACCCAGGCTGGAGTGCAGTGGCACAATCTCAGCTCACTGCAACTTCCGCCTCCCGGGTTCAAGTGTTTCTCCTGCCTCAGTCTCCTGTGGAGCTGGGATTACAGGCGCCCACCGAACCCAGCTAATTTTGTGTTTTTAGTAGAGACAGGGGATTTCACCATATTGGCCAGGCTGGTCTGAAACTCCTGACCTTAAGTGATACACCCGCCTCGGCCTCCCAAAGTGCTGGGATTACAGGCATGAGCCACTGCACCCGTTCCCATTTGTCCCTTTATCCACATCTGGGTCATGTCCATCTCTCTCCTTCCTAAGCCACACCTGCCTTGCACATTCTGTACCTTAAATGCTAGGTATAGGGCTGACAGCTACGAACACACATCAGATAGACTAGGAATGGGAAGAGGGAAGGAAAAAGAACTCAGTAATATGTACCATGTATTCACACCAAAGCAGGGATGAAAGCACATGTAACCGCCGCGAGCCTTGTTCCTGTGATTCCCGCTGGGCAGATAAGGCCTCCTTTCCCTGGCACGTTCCACATTGCCTTTGCCCTCCTGCCATCTCAGCTTGTCACTGTTCTTGGTCTGGTGAGGTGATCCAGGCCTTCTTTATTGTTGTTGTTGTTTTTGAGACGGAGTCTGGCTCTGTCACTCTGGCTGGAGTGCAGTGGTGCAATCTCAGCTCACTGTAACCTCCGCCTCCCTGGTTCAAGCGATTCTCCTGCCTCAGCCTCCCGAGTAGCTGGGACTACAGGCATGTGCCACCACGCCCGGCTGATTTTTTGTATTTTTAGTAGAGATGGGGTTACTACTAACCAGGATGTAGGCCTTCATTCTCGAAGGATCTGTGCCCTGGGTGGGGCTGCCTCTTTTGCATTGCTGTAGTTTCTTATGAATTTTTACCATGGGACACCGGAGTGCTAACGGATGCGTCAGAGAATCTCCTGGATTCTAGGCACGGGTCTCCCATTGCATCATAGCAACCCACTTTCTCCTGGAGTCAGGGCCAGCCACCTCAGCCGGTGCCGTGATCCCCTCTGTGCCGGTGGGCTCAGGGCTTGATGGTTCAGAGCCTACACTTCATCCTGTAGTCCCACAACGTGTCATCGCCTGCCATGGAAAGGCGGCGATGTGTCCAAAAATTGTTCCTTGCTTAGGATGATGGGGAACTTGGCAAGACAGAGAATTCAGTGGGTACAAACCTATGGGTCCATCGCATTTGTGGAAAACTAAGTTTCTTGATCAGCAGCAACGCGCGGGGAGCGCAGTAATGACCTGTAAGGTCCCATGCGCCCACGGATGGGGGTTCTGGAGGAAGCGTTGTAGGCAAGGAAGACAAATCCATATTCAAAACGAGTGAGTGGCCGGGTGCGGTGGCTCATGTCTGTCATCCCAGCACTCACGTCTGTCATCCCAGCACTTTGGGAGGCCAAGGCAGGTGGATCACGACGTCAGGAGTTCGAGACCAGCCTGACCAACATGATGAAACCCTGTTTCTACTAAAAATACAAAAAAAAAAATTAGCCGGGTGTGGTGGGGCGCTCCTGTAATCCCAACTACCAGCCTGGGCAACACAGCGAGACTTCATCTCAAAAACACAAAACAAAACAAGTGATTATTCCAGAAAAAAACAAATCTCTGCCCCTTCCACAGTGGAATTAGTCCAAGGAAATCAACCTGCCACGCACGAGGTGGCTGGCGGTCCCCTGGGGAATGATGTCCCATCATGGGCCTGTAGGATCTCAACAGTGATTGTAGATGGATCCGCCTTGGCCGGGGGAAGCTCACATGGCTGAGCTCACGGGAAACCAGGTGGCCAGAGAAACAGGCTGAGCGTCATCCACGGAACAGGTCATCCGGTCCACCTGTTTAGTGAGAGCCTTCTCTGTGAGGCTGACCGGCGGCCAGTATTTACATGGGATACAAAGAACTATCTCCTCCCTTGTGCCCGTTAAAAGGGATTCGCCTTCACGCCTCTTCCCGAGACCTTGGATTAATCGTCCGGTAGTGTTCCTTCCAAGCTCCGGAGGGGTCATTGGGTCCTGCCAATGAGTCAGTGTAGAGCCACATCTCTCACCATCTCTCCTTCTATGTAAAGTGAACAACCAGGTACACTGTTTGCAGGTCTGTCCCCAGACACTTCAAGGCCACCCTTCCTGGGGCTACAGCTCTGGCTGCCCACTTTCAGGCGATGCCAGCAGAGCCATACGTAAAACAGGCCTGGAGTTCTTTCTTCCTTGGTTGGCTGGTCATAAGGGACTCCTATGAGATCATTCGTGTGGATGGAGGGGGAGGAGCTCTGCAGCGAAGGGGGTGCCACGGGAGTCTGGGCCATCTACTTATGCAACTGACTTCAGGAGCCGCTCAAGTCTGAGCTCATGTGGCCCCCTTCCACCTGATCACGGTGCTGTGGCACACATCACGTGTATCCTGTGTTGGGTTGGTTACCGTCTAGTTTCAGATGGGCAACTCACATCCTGTGGGAAAATGTGACACATTTAGTCTTTTCTAGGGTCCAACAGCAAGCCAGAGGCTGTTTTCCTTTTTTTTTTCTCTCTCTGTTCCTGCCTTTCTTTCTTTCTTTCTCTCTTTCTTTCTTTCT